CTCTAAAGTATTAAAAAGCAAAGATGTCACTTTGAGGACTAAGGTGTGCCTGACCCAAGCCATGGTATTTTCAATGGTGTCATATGCATGCAAAAACTGAACAACAGAAAAGGAAAACAAAGAACAGTTTATATGTTTGAGTAATGGTGTTTGTGAAGATTATTGAATGGACTGCCAGAAGAATGAATAAATCTATCTTGGCAGAAGTACAGCCAGAATATTCCCTAGAAGCCAGGCTGGTGAAATGTTATCATGAGGGACCAATCTCTAGAGAAAGACATCATGGCTGATAAAGCAGAGGGTCAGCGAAAAAGAGCAAGACCCTCAACAAGATGGATTGATATGGTGGCTGCAACAATGGGCTCAAACATAGCAATGATTGTGAGGATGGTTCAAGACTGGGCAACATTTAATTCTGTCCTACATAAGGTCACTATGAATAAGAACCAACTGGACAGCACCTAACGACAACAATTATTAAGAGTTTCATAGGCTTAGTCATTGTTGTAAGTGCTTCACTATTAGCTTATTGAACCTCATAACAATCGTATGAGGTAGAGATTTTTATGAATGAGAAAACTGACTCACAGAGCACTTGAGCTGGTGTCCAAAATTCACCTTCAAGACCTGTGAGTGGAAACAACACACTATACTGTACTGTGTCTCATTGGTGAAAGGTACTGCAGTTAACAATTTGCTGTTGTTGTTGTTAGTTCCCATTGAGTTGATTCTGATTCACGGAGATCCCATGTTTTACAGAAGAGAACTGCCCCATAAGGTTTTCTTGGCTGTAATCTTAATGGAAGCAGATTGACAGGATTTTTCTTCTGTGGTACAGCTGGGTGGGTTCAAACTGCCAACCTCTGCACAACCATTTGTGCCATGCAGGGACCTTCCTCAATGACTTACTACTGATATACATTTAGGCTTTTCATGACTTAATAATACTAACAGTTATAATGAATGGTAACTTGAATATCTGGAGGACATTGGAATATGATGGGCCAGTTTCCACAGATGACTAATTCTTTTCATAAAACCAAATGTAATCAATGTTCAAATTTACTTAGCTTTCAGAAAAATCATGACTTTTCCTCATAAAATATGGTAATTAACTACATGACAAACTCCCTATAATTAAAGGATAAATTGCTGGCATAAAAATAAAGAATGCTTGCATGCTATAATTACTCTGTAGCTTACAGTTTATCAGACATGTGCTTTGAACATAAGAGGTTATATAAGTACATAACTTCTAAAAGAAACGTTTTGCTTTGCCTTCTTTGCACAAAACTGACAACCAGAAAATGATAGCCTGGCTTCATAAGGCTAAAACGCGTGGCCATGTCTGCAAACCAAACCTTAACAGAGGCCTCCTTCTCTCTTCCTAGTGGGCCAGCTTTAAGGATCTAATGTTACCGTCCAACTATCAATTACTAAGATCAAACTATAGGCAGAACACTTATATTCACTTTTTTCCCAGTGTAAGACTATGATAATAAGCAATATATTTATCTCAAATACTCAGAAAAAAGAAGAGGAAGCTATTGTAGGCTTCCTTTAAGTGATGGTCTTCCTCCTGATGAACTTCCTGGCTGATGAACACGAATACACATCCTGTCAGCAGCAGAGCTCCAAAGGGAAGCATGAGATACATTTCCAGCCCCTCAACTTGTGATCTTCCCAGGGTCTGGTGTGAGTGCTGGGAGCAGACCTCATTCTACCTTCGCCTGGGAATGAAATGAGCTGAGAGAAAAGTTGGAGCTCAGCAGAGTGTGGGACCAATGCCCTCCAATGGGAAAGGGAGAGAATCAAATTCAAGCAAACTTTAGTCTGGAAGTACCAAAGTAAAAGAGTCCCTGGGAGGTGCAATGGGTTAACGGCTTGGCTGCTAATTGAAAAAGTTGGATGTTTGAGTCCTCCAACTAAACCGCTGTAGCAAAGAGATTAATACAACCCAACAGCTTGAAAAAAGGAGTTTCTTTCTCAGAACTGTCTGGCATGTCTCTGCTTCCTGATCTCATCCAGGGGCCCACGCTGGCAGACTGGATTAGCCATTTTAGAGAATGACTTCCAAGGTTACTTCAGTCATTGCCTTTTCTATTGAGCAAGAAGGGGCAGAGAAAATCCAGGGCAAGAATCTTTGAATCAGTGATGGCCCAGAGGTTGCACATATTCCTCCTGCTCACATTCCACTGGTCTAACCTTAGTTGTGTGGTGATACCGAATTGTTAGGGAGGCTGGGAAATATAGACTGTAGCTGGACAATCACGAGCACAACTAAAATAGAATTTAATTACTAAAAAGAAGATGAAAATAAGGGATTCAGGTGGACTATTATAGTGGTCTTTGCCACTATAATTGTGCCCAAATTTTAAAATTGTCATAAGGACTGAGCTTATACTTGCAGAGCACTAGAAATGTTTTTGTTGAATTTACATAAGTGATCTGTATAGTGCTTGACACATACTGAACGATCATTAAATGGTAACCATTATCATCATCATCACCATCATCATCATCTAGTACTTCTATCCTCACCTTGACACTTGAATTTCTTCTAAGGTATCACATATAAGTGACTTTTTAAAGCCTTACATGAATCCTTTAGTTAAAAAAAATAATAATAAAAATTCACTCTCTTAGGGCAACCAGTCCATTTTTAGAAAAATTTTCATTTTTTTCCGGCCATTATTTATCTCCCTATACTTCCCTTTCTTTCATCCTAATAGTGATCTCTGAGGCCCCCCAAAACTAAGCTCATGCCTCGTCCACATGACAGTCCTTCATTTCTCCAAGTACCTCATAATCCATGACTTTGGCATCACTCACCCATTCTGTACACACTCATTCACTCATGTAACAAATATTTGAAGTGTTGACTATTCTATCAATGCCCACCTTCAAAAATGTTTTGCCAAGAGAAGTACACAATATTTCAAGTTGTGTACAATATTCCAGAGCTATGCAGGAAAAACCATAAATCCCTTCATTTAGGATATCATTTTCTCTAAGTAGACTTAAGATCATATTAATTGTACGGGTAGCCACATCATGCTGCTGACACATGCTGAATTGCAGCCAATTACACCTCCAACTGGACCAATAAGCGACATCATGCCAGATGGAGAAAATATTAAAGTTGTCAAGGATTTCATTTTACTTGGATCAACAATCAATACGCACGGAAGCAGTAGTCAAGAACTCAAATGACGTATTGTATTGGGGAAATCAGATGCAAAAGACTTTCTTTAAAATTTTAAAAAGAAAGATGTCACTTTGATAACTAAGTTGTGCCCAACCCAAGTCATGGTATTTTCAATTGCTTCAAATACATGCAAAAAATTGGACAATGAAAAAGGAATATCAAAGAAGAACTGATGCATTTGAATAATGGTGTTGGCAAAGAATATTGAATATACCATGGGCTGCCAGAAGAATGAACAAATCTGTCTTTGCAGAAGTACAACCAGAATGTTCCTTAGAAGCAAGGATGGTGAGACTTCATCTTGCTTGTTTGGACATGTTATCAGGAAGGACTAATCCCTGGAGAAGGACATGCTGCTTGGTAAAGTAGAGGGTCAGTGAAAACGAGGAAGACCCTCTACAAAACAGATTGATACAGTGGCTTCAATAATGGGCTTAAACATACCTACTATTATGAAGATGGCTTAAGACTGGGCAATGTTTCGTTCTGTTTATATACAGGGTCGCTATGAATCGGAGCTGACTCATTGGTGCCTAACAGCAACAACACCCTCCATGCCATTTTTATTTATGCAGCTAACATAGGTGTTCCCTCCCTTATACATAAACTTTTTCTGTATTAATCCAAATGCAAAATCTTTACTACATTTCCAGTAAATCATTAATTTTATCTTATTGCAGTCTCTCAAGAACTTTTATTCTTTCATCCAATGTATCCCTCACAGATTCACACCATTTAAACACTTGATTAGCATGTAATTGAACTCTTCTGCTAAGATGCTGATCAAAATGTGGAAGTGGACAGAGCTGAGGCAAAGTCACTGGCAACCCTCTGGACATAATTGCACCATCATTTAAAATATATTGCTCTATTTAGTAAACAAAGGAGTCCTGGTGACACAGTGGTTAAGAGCTTGGCTGCTAACCAAAAAGTTGGCAGTTCAAATCCACAAGCCGCTCCTTGGAAACCCTATGGAGCAAGTTCTCCTCTGTCCTGTAGGGTCACTATGAGTCAGAATAGGCTTGACAGCAATGGGCTGCTAAACAAAAGTCTCAAGAAAAGCTTTTGTCAACACTTGCCTGAATTCCTATTAGCTATGCCTATAACACTGGCCTGAAATCATTAAAAAAGGAAATCGGTGTGCATCACCTCTATGCACAGCACTTTCTTGCAACTAGTCAGCACGGGACTTCTGTGTTCATTGCCATGCCCAATGAGACCTAGACCTGCCAGTCCAAGTGCTACATGGTCTGGCTCCATTCAGTCAGTTCAACTTGACCCTTGATGCCTCCTTGATTAGGAGCACATAACTGATGTTTTCCTGCTGCCATACCTTTATACACTGAGGTTCAACCTATATTTATTGAGCTCTGATTATGTGCCAGGCATTATACTAAGAACTTTCTCAAATAAGTGGAGCATGAAAGAAACGGAATATATTTATGAAAAAAATGCATATATTCTCCAGTAAAATTATCATATTATTTGGTCTACACGAGACAATCCAACAATGTTCCTTAGTAAGAAACTGAACATATTCCATACACAGGTACTCAGTTTTCTGCACGAGGGATACAAGAGACATTAAAATGTGATATACATTTTTCTAAGACAATCCGTTCAGTGGCTAAATTCTTGCTAAATACCACATTAGACTCTGAGATTGTCTCAGTAAGTCAATAACGAATGTGCAGGCACTCTCCAGACACACACACAGGAATAGTTATTCATTTACTGCAGATAATAAGCACATCTTAGAATTTAAATTATGAATCACCTGTACAGATGTTACCTTTTCCAAAGGACTTTCTACTCGAGGAATGCTGATCATTGGCATCTGTGCCAGATTATCCATGTGTATATGCTCATTTTCTGGTTGTCTTCCTTTGAAATTATTTACCACACATACAACCTAAAATTTCAGAAAACAATTACAGTTAAAGTAAAACCATGCTCCCTCTGACAATGACTCTTTTTTTTTCTTTTTAAATGGCTTAATAAATCTAATCACAGTGATAAAGTATTAAAATTACTTAAATATTACATGTATGTAAGTTACATTCAGATTTGTCTTGTACAAATTTTAATCACTACTGCAATGCATATATAGAGTCAAGAAAATTCACCAATTAATATCTAGCTCAATTAATAATGAAAACTTTATTATTCTAAAATTTTCATTATTTAAGGCATAGTCAATGCTCAAATCAATCCAAAAATAACATCATAACCTCATAAAAATTCATAGCAAGCTAACCTTTCTCTAATGTGGCTAACCTACAACTTAATTTAAATGCTAATTATTTCCCATTGCTTCAAGATCATTATATTCATAATAAACCTTCTACAATTGGCACCCTTGAATTTAGTAGCTACCCTTTAATTAACCTAGTTTATTGTCTATTATTATATACCATACATACTTGGCATTTCAGTAATAGCTTACTGGGACTACTACTGAAAATAGAAGACTCTTTAAAGAAAGGAAATTCATCCTTGTTTCAACTGATCAAATACCACAGGTGACAGAATTTTAATTAAACTAGAGGTTTTCAAACTCTATTGTGCATGAAAATAAAGTTCTGGTGCTGTTAAAAATGTATATTCCTAAGCTCTCCCCTAAAGATTCTGATTTAGTAGGTGGAGCATAGGGCCTACCATTCAGCATTTTTAAAATGCATTCCAGAAGCTTCTGATGCAGGTGGATCAACATTTTGAGTAAAAGTAAATTAACACAAGAAAATTACTTGCTATTGTTTGCTTATATTAACTACTGGGTAAGGTATTTTTGGATCCCTGGTGGTGCAGTTGTTAAGAGCTCTACGACTGCTAACCACGAAGTTGGCAGTTCGAATCCACCAGGCGCTCCTTGGAAACTGTATGGGACAGTTCTACTCTGTCCTTTAGGGTTGCTATGAGTCAGAATTGACTCGATGGCAACGGGTTTGGTTTTTTTTCTGAAGGTATTATTGAGTTTTCCTTTTCTGTGCTTTATATTCTATTATCAAATCAATATTCAGAACTTACTTGCAGTTAAAACCTAACATTCATATTTTTCAATAAATGCTTAATATGTAATTATACAGTTACACTGTATATGTTTACAAAGGCTCCACTGGAAAGCCTTTTCTTTAGCAGAGATCATTACTGAATATTTTCAAAAACCAATTAGATCTTGGTTACTCTCCAGCTTTTAAATAAAATTATAAACTAATAACATGTACTATGAGTTTTTTTGTCAGAAAAAAAGTATTTCCTTGCAAACTGGTATATACTTATTAGTTTTCCATTTCCCTGAAGCATTACAGATCAGAAGCATAGATCAAAGCCTGATAATTTGGTATTTCAACTTTAACACTGCCATCAAGACTTTTAAAGTAAGGGATAGGAATGGCATGGAGGTGAGTACTTGATAAACCAAAAAACCAAACCCACTGCCATCGAGTTGATTCTGACTCGTAGCAACTCTATAGGACAGAGCAGAACTACTCCACAGGGTTTCCAAGGAGCAGCTAGTGGATTCAAACTGCCCGCCTTTTGGTTGGCAGCCATAGCTCTTAACCACTGTGCCACCAGGGCTCCTTGATAAACCTACTATCAAATAATTTTGCCAATTTCATGACACTACAAAGCACTGATAGATGCTAAGAGTTCTAGAGCAAGGGTCATCAAATTTTGTCTGTAAAAGGCTAGACAGTAAATGTTTTTGGCTTTGTGGGCCAGACAGTCTCTGGCAACTATTCAACTCTGCCGTTTTCGTGTAATACCAGCCATAGAAAATTCCTAAAGTGGGCATGGCTGTGTTTTGACATAGCTTGCTTTATACAAACAGGTAATAAGCCAAATGTGGCCTGTGGGCTGTGGCTCGTCGACTGACTCCTGCTTTAGAGTATAAAGAATATAATAAAAAAAATTAGCCAACAAAAACCGCCAGAAGAAAAAATCGGGCAGTTTCATACCCATTTCCTGAAACACACGTACAATTTCCCTTTTCATTAGTATTAAAAATTATTGCAAAACTGATCAGATGAAGAAAAGCTGCTAAATATTCTTCTAAAGTAAAATTTGTTGAAATAAAATAACTATGTTGTTGTTGTTGTTAGATGCCGTTGAGTTAGTTCTGACTCATAGTGACCCGGTGTATAATACTGCCTGGTCCTGCTACACCCTCACAATCATTGCTATATTTGAGCCCATCTTTGCAGCTACTGTGTCAATCCATCACGTTGAGGGTCTTCCTCTTTTTCGCTGACCCTCTACTTTACCAAGCATGATGTCCTTCTCCAGGGACTGGCTCCTCCTGATAACATGTCCAAAGTACGTGAGAGGAAGTCTCGCCATTCTCGCTTCTAAGGAGAATTCTGGCTTTATTTCTTTCAAGAAAGATTTGTTTGTTCTTCTGGCAGTCCAATATTCGATATTCTTCACCAACACCATAATTCAACGGCATCAATTCTTTGTCTTCCTTATTCATTGTCCAACTTTCACATGCATATGAGGTGACTGACAATACCATGGCTTGGGTCAGGCACACCTTAGTCCTCAAAGTGACATCTTTGCTTTTGAACACTTTTAAGAGGTCTTTTGCAGCAGATTTACCAATGCAATCTGTCCTCTGACTTCTTGACTGCTGCTTCCATTGGTGTTGATGGTGGATCCAAGTAAAATGAAATCCTTGACAACTTCGGTCTTTTCTCCATTTATCATGAGGTTGTTTACTGGTCCAGTTGTGAGGATCTTTATTGTCTTTATGTTGAAGGCTGTAGTCTTTGATCTTCATCAGTAAGTGTTTCAAGTCCTCTTCATTTTCAGCAAGCAAAACTGTGTCATCTGCATATCAAAGTTTGTTAATAAGTCTTCTTCCAATCCTGATGTTGTGTTCTTCTTCCTACAGTCCAGCTTCTCAGATCATTTGCTCGGCATACAGATTGAGTAATTATGGTGAAAAGACACAACCCTGATGTACACCTTTCCTGACTTTAAAACACGCAGTATCCCCTTGTTCTGTTCAAATGACTGCCTTTTGTTCTATGTACAGGCTCCTCATGAGCACAATTAAGTGTTCTGGAATTCCCATTCTTTGCAATGTTATCCATAATTTGTTATGATTCACACAGTTGAATGTCTTTGCATAGTCAATAAAACACAGGTAAACATCTTTCTGGTATTCTCTGCTTTCAGCCAGGATCCATCTGACATCAACAATGATATCCCTCTCAGCACATGGATGAATAACTATGGAACTCAGGAGATTAAAAAAAAAGTTCATCTTAAATTAATATGGGCTTCTGAAATAAGTTTAATTGTATTTTAACTTATTTAGGTTTAGAAAATTCTTTAAGGGTAGTATAAGTTATCTCTTTGCTGTAATTAAGGGTCAGCACTGAAGAAGCTGAGAATTCCTATGAGAAATACTTAAACTCCTAAAACATAGTAAATACTCATTAAGTGGCATCTATTTGCATAATGATTATTCTTCATTACTGTTATTATTTAAATTAAAAGGAAGGAAATTACCAAATCTTTAGAATCATATTCAAATATTTAAGAAGCCTTATTTGCTGCCACTCATAATTACAGAATTCACTTCCTATTTACTATCCCACCCATAAAAATACTGGTAGGAAAAAACAAGAGACCTAGTTTTTGATCTTGAGTCTGCCTGAGTCTGCAAGTTCCTGGGCAGTTTTCCGGGTCTCAGTTTTCTCAACTAGAAAGTGAAGAAGTTTCAACAGATCACTAAGTTAGCTCCATTTCTTTGGTTGATAAAGGTAAGGCAAATTTAATAATTTTTTTTTAAACTAAACTCAAGATCTGCCCACATCCTGACCCCACTTCAAAACTGATCCTTTTCTGAAGGCTTTCAGGGAAGGAAAACATCCCCCATCCGGTTGCACAAGCCAGAATACCTGGATTCATCCTTTATGCCTTCTATATTCAACCTGTCACTCATTCTGTTCAGTTTGCTTCCTAAACATTGATTTCTTCTATGTCCTTTGTTCTATCCTCACCACCAACTCCAAAGACTAAGCAATCACCACCTCTTGCCTGGATTCCCACATAGCGTCCTAAACAGTCGTTTACACTGGTGGCTTCCACGCATATAATGCTGCCCTCTCTTACAAAGATGACACACATAAGTCACCACTACATATATATTTTTATTTTCTTTTTTGAGTAATGACAGTAAGTTAATCTGATCCATCATGTTTGTTTTCCCTCTTCCCTTGTGGCAAATGAAACGTCACTATTGCATGGGGTTAAGTACATGGGCTTCGAGGTCTTAATCCTGGGCTCTGTTGTTTACCAGTTTTCTGAATGTGAGCAAACTACTTAATATAACTAGACCTCTGTTTCTTTTATCAGCAAAATGAGGACAAACATAACTACATCTCAGGGGACTGCTGTGAGGATTACTTGATTTGATGTAGTAAAGAACACGCAAATAAGTATTATTGTTACTATATTATCATATAACATACGAAACTACTGCTGTGGCTCAATAAACTTGAACCATACTGCTTGACACTGTAATACACTTTTCTTTGGAAGTGCTTTGAGGTGTATTCATAAAATAATATTCATCATTTCTACCACTATTGTTCAACTACTGATTGTTTTGCATTTTGCTAAGCATGGAGATTTTGTTCTCTAACCATGAAGAAAATGCATATGGGATAAGACTGATAAACTCAGGACAGAATGCAATTACTTGTTAGGCTGTAAGAGGACAGGCTGTAAGTGCTTTAAAAATTCGGGAGAAATGGGGAAAGCAAGTAACCAAGGATACTTCCTGAAGAAGTTGAAACTTGCCTCATTGGAATCTAAAGTCAGTGAAGGCTTTCAATAGATTTCAAAGGTGAGGACCATGTTAGCGAGTGTTTTCTCTACCCCAGGCACTGGGCTGCACTT